GAATGTACGAAATTTCAATATCCCGGCTGTTTAAATTACTAACCAGCACTGTTCACAACCTATTTTAGCATATTTTCGCACATTTTCGTGACACTACAACCGCGTGACAACTTGCACTTTTATTTAGATACCATAAAAGGGAAGATATATTCTTCACTTATCATAGTTGTCACGACATTGATCCCAGAGATTTCATTGTGAGAAGTTTTATGTGATACTTTGCTCGACTAGTTGAGCAAGAGATGATTGTATATACAAATAATTCTACAATAACAAATAAATACGAAATTTACAAATAATTCAGTTCCTTCATTTGATATTCGAAATTGGAATAGAAGCTACGTTGAAAGGTAAAGTAATACTTTGTACAATACCTTGCTTTTTGTATCATAGCACTATTTTCTGCTTGAGGCACCATATTTCCTATTTATTTCTCATGTATTTGTTGAACCGGATTGATACCTTTTAATCTAGCAGTGAGCTTTTTGACAGCCACCTCTATCCGGTCTGTTGATTCGAAGAAAATTTACATTCGATTCGTACTCTAAACTCCGAGATTCCGATTCTAGGTGAAGGAAATTTTGGTTCCATATCCCAACTTTTTTTAATCAACTCTCCGAGAGTGAAAATAGTAAAATGCTCACCTCCCAGTACAGACTGAACTCTAATTCATAAAGTTGTCGTTTTCCCCAAATCGCTATGTATAGGTGATGAAAGCTAACATTTTCATCAATGTAAAGGTGATTTTGTACCTTTGTGCCCACACATTCAAGCACCCGCATCAGATTAGAACCGCGCACATTAAAACCCAAGTACATGAGCAGGAGCACCCATAGACGCGTGTACCCATCACTAACACCAACCGAATTTGAACTCACGTACATTTCAAACATGGACATTTTAATGCACAGACATCTGCACCCGTGGATATTTGCACCCATGGATATTCTAACCCACAGTCATTTTCATTCACGAAAATTCAATAAATATATATTGACATTAAGGTGGTTTACAAACTGTAAGTAAATTCTTGGTGACGCTCGGTATATTATTTCAATCATTGTTAGTTAAAATCCTATATCACACTTTTGCCCTTTGTTGGTAATTGTCTTTCCACAAATCATCGCAAACATAGTCGGCGGTCGATTAGTACACGCTGGAAATTGTATGTATGAAAACTGAATACTAAATAAATTCATCAAGTCAGAGTTGACCAATCACACAAGAGAAACTTGCTTCAATAAGTAACAATGACAACAACAACAACAACGGATCGTGTGAAGAACCCTCTCCCTTCTATACGCACACGGACATTGTCATGCACAGGCATCTGCACCCATGAATGTTTGAACTCCCAGTCATTTTCACACGCGACTCACTACACTTATTACATTTCATTGCTAGTTATAATGATATCCCACTTCTACCTCCCTTATATCCCCCTCCCTACCAACCGACTTAGTGTCCAATAATAATTAAACGTTAGAAAAGAAAAAAATAAAGAACAATAAACAAGCATATCTAACGAGATTATAATATTGGACCATATTAAGTTCCTCCAAAACCTACTCGGGTTTTCTATTCTACTAAAATAAATGCATATCGTTGGGATTCTATTTCAGATCTTGGAACTTTTTCAACAATCATCTTGAAAACAAGAGAGCTATGCTCAAATATATGGACACGTAGCGGCTTCTAGTGGCAAATTTGGATGGCGTCATGGCACACAAAAAAACGACTCCCATGCAGCTCACCGGAATATTTGAAATAAATAAAAGTAATAGCATTCTAGCGAAAAATTTATTCTTAAAGCACTGAAACTTTCAAAGCAATTAGTCCAGTAATCAAAGAGAATAGTTTTTTTCTGTGACAAAGAACAGCAAGAACAAGGAGAACAACAACAACATATATTAGAATGATTCATAGGTCCACCTACGTGTCCAATAACCGATCGAATAACCGATTGCAGTAACATATCAAATTTGACAATACAACATGATCAGAAAAATCCTTATCCAAACCAGATATAATTCGTCGCACATGTTGAATTCGAATTATTCCGTTGAACACTGAGGCACCTTTGAATATTCGTCTATGGATATTTCTAAGGTGCTCCCTTCCCCTTGGTGACATAAGCACCTGCTTATATTGCTTAATGGTTAATCTAGAATTGATTTCAGTGGACGTACAGTTGCATATATGGCATTTCGATATTGTTTGTCGATTATAATCTTTCCTACTACGGCATATATCAGTAAAAGATAAAGAAGCGAGGTCTATCAGTTACGAAACGTCTTAACTGGATTGCAATCGGTCGGACGGTCGCTAACCGGTTGAAGTGACTTTTCCATTGACTGTATAATAACTTATGCCAATAATTGTCAGATCTATCGGCTTCTCTAGGTGTGGCGACATTTTTTGGGTTTCAAATCCAAATAGCCTAATTATCTAATTTAGGCCTACATCTTTCTCGGGGCGCAGTTCTAGCCATTATATGGCGGCTCTTATATGACGCTTCCATTGGTTGTTACTACATAACATGGTTGCGGCATCTCTTTCCATTGTTCATGGCGTATTACCAATAGATCGCAAGAGAGCTTACCATGCGTGGTACCCCGTCTGACGCCAGTATTTGTGGCAGTCTAAAAGTCAAACGCAATGGTTTGGGCATGGCGGCCATGGGTATACGGCCACAAAGTGGTAAACAACTGCTCTTGTCTTCCTGTGTAGTATTATCCACTTCTATCTCATCAGTAGAATTTGGGAGTTAAAAACTGAGATAACCATGACCGTTCTCATTCAAAGGCGAATATGGCATCGAGACGCTGATGTCTTTGTACCAGCTTCATATTTATTCATATATATTAGTTTATTCCGATTATTTAGTATTTTTAGAATCAACTCGTATTAAATTTTAGTTTGCGAACGAGCAAAGTAAATATCCAAAGTTAAAAACATTTTCTATGCACAATCGATGGACCAGCTTCGTCATATTCTTGTTTTGAAATCCACATTTGTTGAAATGTTGATAGAGATGCAAGAATTGATCCTCCGATCCAGACAGAATATTTTCTTTCAGGGGGAGCGATGATCTTGATTTTCATTGTACTTGGTGCAAGAGCAGTGATTTCTTTCTGCATGCGATCAGCAATACCGGGATACATTGTGGTTCCACCAGAGAGAACATTGTTGGCATACAAGTCTTTACGAATATCGATATCGCACTTCATTATAGAATTGTATGTTGTTTCGTGTATTCCAGCAGATTCCATACCTTAAATTTAATTTAATGACAATTAATAGAGCAAAATGTGCACTTGAATTTTATTAAATTAACTTATATGGAATATATATATTATGAAATGCAATGTGGCATGCTTACGAAGGCTATCTCGTTAGTTTTTCCAATGTTATTTCATCTCCATCGAGACTAGTAATCAGTATTAGTTATCTACGACATTGAAAAGATATTAATCAACTTACCAATAAATGATGGCTGAAATAATGTTTCAGGGCATCTAAACCTTTCGTTACCAATTGTGATGACCTGCCCATCAGGAAGTTCGTAGCTTTTTTCGAGCGACGTAGAAGATGCAGCAGTCGCCATTTCTTGTTCAAAGTCGAGTGCAACATAGCACAATTTTTCTTGATATCTCGGACAATTTCCCGTTCAGCAGTCGTGACGAAGGAATACCCTCTTTCTGTAAGAATCTTCATTAAGTAATCGGTCAGATCTCGTCCAGCCAAATCAAGCCGGGCAATTGCATGGGGAAGCGCATATCCTTCATAAATTGGCACATTGTGCGAAACCCCATCTCCTGCATCCATGACAATACCTGTAGTTCTGCCTGATGCATACAACGACAGAACGGCCTGAATAGCTACGTACATTGCTGGAACGTTGAATGTTTCGAACATGATTTGAGTCATCTTTTCTCTATTTGCTTTTGGGTTCAATGGTGCCTCAGTTAAAAGAGTTGGGTGTTCTTCAGGCGCAACTCGTAGCTCGTTGTACATTGTATGATGCCAAATTTTTTCCATGTCGTCCCAATTGGTAATTATTCCATGTTCTATGGGATATTTGAGCGTCAAAATTCCTCTTTTGCTTTGTGCTTCATCACCGACATAGCTATCTTTTTGTCCCATTCCTACCATCACGCCTTGATGTCTTGGTCTTCCGACAATGGAAGGGAAAACGGCTCTGGGAGCATCATCCCCAGCAAATCCAGATTTAACTAATCCAGATCCGTTGTCGCAGACAATTGCGGTTTGATCTTCGTCTCCGTCAGACATGGTTTAATTTCGGAAGATGGAAGTAAATGTAGATTAGAAAACTTGAACTGTCGAATGATGATAAATGTGTATCTTCACGACTTATTTATATTACGTGATGTCTTGGAATGTACGAATTTATAACTTCCCAGCTGTTACGAAGTCTACTGTACAATCGCAACCTATTTTAGCATGTTTTCGCACATTTTTGTCACCCCACAACTGCGTGACAACTTGCACCTTTATTTTGATACCATGAAAGGGAAGATTGTTTTTTTTTTATTACTGGTGCTATTATGAAGTTGTTCCCAGAGAAGTTCCCAGGACACTCCGCAAATTATTTTCTCGCGTGCAAACAAGCGGAGCAAAAAAAATGATCATAAAATATTTTCACGTGCGAACTATTCGTAGATCAGTCTATTTGATTCTCCTACGGAAGCGAATTTGGAAGGTATGTTTTGTATTGCACAATAGCAAATTATTATTATCGTTGCACTATTTTTTGTTAAATTTTTATCGTTAGCATACCGAATTTCCAATTTATTACCTAGTTAAGACGGCATTCGAATAGAAATAAACGTTTCAGATGCTCTACACAGCTTTATTGCTGGTTTTGCTTTAATCTGCTCTATCATTGCTAGTGTCTGAACACTAATTCTTCCTTATACCTCATTGAGTGCTATCATCAGATGGTTATTTGAGCTTCTCTTCCATTTTCTTTCAGTGCTTTGAAACATAAGAAAGTGTTCAGTAAAAAAGAGTTTATTATTATCGACGGACGGGTAAGCAAATGTATTTTGAAACAAAGTTAATAAAGAGATAGACACGCTATATTGTTAAATAAAACATATTCACGAATTTTTTGTACATTTCATGTTGCGATATAACATTTATCAAACAAAAAAGTAAAGGTTTTTGTATTAAAATTCAGACAAAAACAACATTAAATATAATTATTCGGCATAATTTTACTTAAAATTAAATAAAAAAAAAAAATCGACGACATGACACCACACACAAATCAGACAAGAGTGTTGAATGATCGCACAAAATTGTTTAAAGCGATCAGTTCTCCGCAATATAACCATATTTTGGCTGTTCAAATATGTAATTGAACAAACGGCGTAGGCCTACAAATCAGTCTTTGCTGATATAATGCAATAAGTTGATATGATAGTGTTACATCGGATATTTGATGGCGGTGTGAGTTGGATCGTGCTAACGCTGTGCTAATCTATGAACTTATAGATGGGGTTATAGTAACGACCGCAGGCTAAACAAGCGAAGGGGCCGATTTTCATTTTTATCAACAAAAAGTGTTTATTAATATATATAAACATTGGAGGCAGTGTAAAGTAAGCAAAATATAAACAACAAATTGAATAGAGTTGACGTTCAAATGCAAACAAGGTAAATGAAACAAAGGATTAAAAAACTACAATAAATTTTGTACATAAAGTGTATAAATGATGTATTTGATGGTATAGTTGAAACAATTTCAGTACTAATGGAACCCATTACAATAGGTCAAATGCGCATTTCGGGACAGCGAAAATGTGGCTCCGTTGAATTTATGCATTCTACGCGCTTGGCGATTACGTCTCATCATTTACACAAGTTGTTGTTACTGGCATCCGATCATATCACCCTGAGATCGTATCGCCAATTAAAATACCACTATAATATAGTATTCGTTCTTTCAAATTGTTGTTTCTGGGTTACCAATAGAATTTTCATTTACTAGGTCTTTGTTGGTCCCCGTTAAAATAATATCAAACTCTGACTGTTGAGGCAATTTGAATCTATCGATATCTTGTTCACAGAGTGTTGAAATAACACCGTTTTTCAAATGTACATTATTGGTCGAAAGTCTCAACCTACGACCTATACTGGTATCTGAATAAGATGCCCCGCTTGCCGAATCGATCTCCGAATGAATACCAGAGTCTTTCGAAGCTGCTGAATCGCAGTATTCACAAGAATTAACTGAAATTTTGCCCACTCTACCTAGTAATGGGTTATCACTACTGCCTGATGAATGAGATGCTGCTCTTTCTTTACGCATTGTTAATTTAACAGGATGCTTTCCATTTACATCTCCCATAGAATCATCATGCGATGCGTTTCGCATTGCTTGTAAAAGATATGACTCATCTTCACGCGATCTTGCGCGCTGAATTGTTTTGTTTCTGGTCGTGTTTTCTCGTGAACGCTTCACCGTATCCCTCTCGCCAAAAAAGTGACTCTCATCCGGCACACATGGCGGAAACGCGGCAGAGTTTATTTCTGCAACTTCCATATCCACTTCAAATGAAGTTGCAGAGGTTTCTCCGGAATTTCTAGATTGAAATTCTGTCGGCGACTCTGTCATTGCACGTGAACGTGTGTCATTTACATCTGATACACAAAAGGAATTTAAAGCCGAGAGGTCATAATGAGTAGGATTTGATTCATGATCGTTGAGTTCGCAATTTTCCGTCAATAAACCACGTGCATCAGTACGTGCAGAAGCTGATAGTGCAACAGTGTTGTTGTTGTGATAAGACGATTGCTGTGCAACACTCCTGTTTGCTGGCATTATAGGATATATAGTGGAGTCTGATGCCTGTGAAGAAGAAGCTATCGGGCGTTGTGGGAAAACAAGTCGCTGGAATTCGTCCTTTGCATTTACACCTCCATTTCGAACACTCAATTTCTTTCGTCTCCTCTCACGTGCGTCCGGATTGTATGAAACTGCTTCTCCGCCTCGATGAAATGTTATGACCTCGGATTCTGTTGTTGGGTCGGTGTCTGTTGTTCGCCGTTCAGTGCGTCGTGATCTAGTATGTCGCCGCCGCCTTTTACGTTCGGCTGACCTTTGACCACTCACTGAGTGGCTGGATGACTGTGGCAGTGCTACTGATAGCGGTGCGTGATAGCTTACAGAACTGGAAGACGCTATCCCACGATTGTCGTAAGCGACCGCTTGCTGAAGTAGGGTGTTATCGAATACAGGTTGAGTGAAGTGTGAAAAATTGTGGCCTGCTTCACGTGGAACGTCTGTGACACTGTCAAACATCGTTTCTAAGATGCTGTTTTGTTGTGGAGGGAATTGGATGTGTCTGGGATTAGAGTCGTTCATAAATATTTTTCTGGTTACATAAATCAAATCTCCCCGAAGACCTTTATTGAACGCAATGTATAATATAGGATTCAGCATAGGCCTGAAAGGTATGAGAAACATAACAAAAGCGAGCAATCGACCCATGTCTAAAACTGTATGAGACCCATCTGGGGAGGCATACTCATCATCTTGTCCCGAGATCATGTCAGAGAACGTCATCATTCCAGAAACATACAGACCAACCGCAGCTAATGGCAGAATGCAGATGATGTTGAACACTACCGACAACGTAACTTGACGTCGAGTGTTCTTCCTTGCACTGAGCCAAGATTGTTTTCGTTTCGCGCAAAACATCATAACACAAAACATGGTCGTCACAAGACACAAGAGAACATGCAGGCCGACGAACGTTCCAATGTACACAAAGTCCGTAGTCCAGGGTAGACATGATGCACCACTTTTAGCAGGCATCATACCCTGAATTCCGTCTATCGCTTCGTCTCCTGCACCACCGAACAGGGTGACTATTCCTGTCATCAGTGACAACGCCCATGCTGAGATAAGTGCCAGCACCAAAAGATTTTTTCTCAGGTGTCTTTCAGTTTGAAGTGGATACATCGTTGCTAAATATCTTTCCACCGACATCACAGCTATGGTAGTGAAGGCAAGTTGAGTTCCAAAAGTTAACAGGAATCCAGCGGAATGACAAAGGGAAGATTGCTGCCACCACGCACCTTGAACCGCAAATTCGCCACGAGTGGCATGGTCGTAAGAGAGGAGCACTGCGGTGTATGCACTAACGATGAAATCAGCCAATGCTAGATGGCAAAGTGCCAAGTCGAAGCTGTCACTGTCTCTGTACATACTTCGTGAACCACGCGTCAAGTTCAGGCAATAATGCGACCCATAAACTTCGGAATCATCATACACCATCGCTCTTGCTTCTGTATATGGCGAATCGCTATCAGCCCTTCTGAGCATTTGTTCGTCCGAAGGTATTGTAGTTGGACCTCGAGATCTTCGCCTTACACAGTATCGCAATCCGCAAGAAAGCAAAATTAGAGCATTCAGAATAAAAGCGACGATCATAGCAATCCATGAAAATATTCGAAGAGGTGTTGACGGCAGAAGATCGTCACATGGTGTCATAGGTCCCGGATCCGGACTGCACTGAACAGGGGAACTTAATGGGGCGAACGGATGATTTTGGGGTGAAAACGAAGAATCTTGGATTCCAGGTTGCATGTAATTTGATGTCAGCGAAGTCTGTGAAAGAAGAGAATATAGTTGATAACTGATTACGTAATAGACTAAATGGAGGAAATACTTGTTTAGTTTAGTTTAGAAGAAAAAGAAGTAACAGGAATACGGTTATATAGTTGGTGACGCTCTATTAGTCTATTAACCAATATATGTAGTGCATAACATACCTCGGCTAATTTTTGTTTCATTCTTGCCACTTGACAGCAATGGTAAGGATAGTATGCGACCAGACTTCTTAAACTATGGAAGAGATCAACTGGAGGTAGGTAGAACATAGTTCGGACTCCGCTTATATTTAGTTCTCGTAGATTTCCGAGTCCGTTCATTGGAAGATATGTGAATGAGTTGTAAGCGAGGTTACTGAAATGAAAAAAAGAACTATTACTCTACACTAGAAGGCCGCACTCCCTCCGTTCAACATCCCCTACCTAATTTATTACACGCTGGATGATGTGGTGGGCATTGGATTTGGACTCAAACGTTTCAATTTGCAATGCCAACATAGTTAGGTCCACCAGGGCCTAGGCCACAGCGCCCTTCGATTTAATTTGGAAATTTATTCATTTCGGAACATGCATGTTCGTTAAAGGCATTTTTTTGTAAGTTGTTCATGTGTTCCAAAGTTTTGTCGCAAACAGTAAAACAATATCACTATAGATCCATAGTATGCCGTAAAACACAAAACATGTAAAGCAAGTAAATCTAATAAATTTTGGGATTGTTCTAATTATAACGAAGAACTCATTTCTACTTACATTTTTCGAACCATTTTCATTTCAGAGAAAGCGTCTTCATCGATCTGTTTTATTTTGTTGTTACCTAATTTTCTACAAAGAAACAATAAAGTCTTATAAATAAAAATGAAATATTTCAATCTTTATCGTGACTAAATTTAGAACAAAATAATGATTTAAGTAAATGTAGAACTTCGATACAAAAGATTATTTTGTTCGTAACTGAATGTTACATGTTTTAGATTGAAATGTGAAAGCGAACTCATGTTAGATGTAACTTCGACATTGCATTGGAATTTCAAAATTTATATTGTGATTGAAGTTTGTGACGTTGGCCTAATACCCCGGCAATAGCGTTAAGTCAACTGGATATAGCTAAAAGTGTTTGAAAAACGCAGACTGTGCACGACTCCGGCATGCTTAGTATTTTTTGAACAAATTTTTATAATATAATTCATGGAAGTTTGCCAAAGCAAGGTCGCACGCATTTATTCAGATAAAAGAGGTTGATCTCTGAGCCAAGTTAGGGGCAACCACTAAAGTGCCAAGCGCTACTGAGCCTATGATTGACGCGAGAGTTGAAGCAGTTCTTGTCAATACGATCAGGAAAATAGAATTGCGTACGGGAGTGAATTTTGCATAACTGAAGTTTTTTGAAAGAAAAACTTTGGGCGTAAAATTAAATTAAGATGCTTTAATACTTACAAGTCTAACATTTTGGTAAGATGTTTTGTTTCATTGAAAATTAATTCCGTTAGTTGATTTCCGGATACATCGAGTGAAGTAAGATTTGAACATTTCGACAGTCCCATCAAAGATCGCAAGTTGTTTCCTTTCAAGGATAATTTTCTAATACTTGGTAAATTGGAGCAAAAACTTTGTGGAACAGATTTGATTTTTCCTCCGTCAATAGACCTGAAATTTAATAAATGATATATTGTTACTAAGTAATTAATATGATTACTTAAATTTGAAATGCATGTTAAGACGTCGTCGTTACGCTGAGCTACAGCATCGATCCTCCTCTCTAAATTAAGAGTCTTGTTTTTAGGGGTATCCTGGGAAGTTCAGAGTTACAGTTTCAATTTTACTGCCAATTAAATTTAAAATCTCAACTCACAATTCTTTTAATGAAGAACATCCTGAAAAATCGGGAATTTCTTTCTGATCTTCCACATTTCTGAGATACCTAAATAGTAGTAGATAAAAAAGTAATTAAATGAAAATTAGATGAGTGTGTCAATTGCATAGAGCCATAGAGTATATAAAAAGTTCAGGCGAATCATCAATAAAAGAAAAAGGCTGTTGCATACTAGTGTAAGTAACTTACAGAGTTTGTAGATGACTCAGTCCTGAGAAAGAGGCCGGTCCAACTGATCTGATTGGATTCCCAGCTAAAGATCTGAAAAAATATACATGTAAAACAGTTAATTATCTGAGGTTCAATTTTTCAATTGGTGCAACATAAGAAAAAAATATTACAAAAATAACTAGAAACTTACAACTGACGGAGCTCCGGATTTCCAGCGAATGCCAAATCTGGTAACTCTTCAATATTATTATAAGGTATGATTCTGAAAAAAAATAAAACGTGTTATTATTTCATAACTATTTGATTACAATATATAATTTTTTTTTGTTACACTCACAGTTGTTCTAGGTTCTGAACTACCTTGATTGCGATGGGAAGCGACGTCAAATTGTTGTACGAAAGTTCTCTGAAAATAAAATTATAAATAAACATGAGCAATAATCAAATATATGGACACGAAAGACCGTTATCGGTATGGTAAGGTTAATTAAGCACAGATTTTTCTGAAAAGATCGGAAGATCAGAAGTGCTGCAGTATTTCACTAAAAATTTGTTCACTCAAAATAAAATAGCAAATTTTAGGATAAATATACTGTTCCGTAAGACTCTGAGATAAAAGTAATAACTTTACAGCGGCTTCAAACATCTATAAGTACTTAAAATATTTTTTTTTTCAAATCGATTGGTCCAGTAAATGCGAAAACAAGCGATTTGTCACAACAACACCAACAAGAACAACAACAAGTTTTCAGCAAAATAATCTACAGGTCTACTTTGTGACCAATAATTAATTTGTTATCTAACTTGCGAAAAGTTTTATAATTATGTTTATAGTTACGTTTATCTATTGTCATAATTATGAATCTTATGAACGCTTCTCAGCATAGTTAACGAAGACAGGTGTTAATGTTTGTATATCAACACCTGGAAAACGCGAGGCTTCATTAATTCTTATACGTTATAGGGAAATCATAGAACTTTGCTGATATCCAGGATGTCGAGTAATAGTCCACGTTTGTAACAGATGTGAAAAAAATTGTGTGAATCAAATAATTCATTTGAAAATATCTTCAAGGTATGTTATTAACATTATCGACAGGTGTTTTACTTAAAATACCAAAAGATAATTGACAGTAGACGATCGGGCGTACAAATTCAACAACTTGATAAAAATCATTATAGAGATTTTCAATTACAATCAATCGGGATCATTCAGGTTTATATTATGCGGGAAAATCAAATTTTAGGTAAAAAGGCCGAAATACCATATATATTGGGGATTCTTTCATCAATATGGTTTAATACATATTATTCCATATATTAGAACATCAAGCATTTGAGACCAATGCCGAGAAGATTGAGGGCATATATATATATTACAACCTTTCTTACATTTAAAAAGCAGAAAATATCTTTCCACTCCAGGGAATTATAAAATCTGTTGTAGAACGCAGAACGAATTTTCAAGTGGCACATACCACAACGGATGTTCTGCATAAACAAACAGAACAATGCGTGACAAATGTTATATTTATTCCCACGTGTGGGAGAGAATTAATTTCAGATAATATAGATTTATAATTCTATATTCCTCTTTACTTCCGCTCTTTCAATTACGAGAAAAACCCGTGACAATGCGACTCCAATCACCTCCTTTCGTAATTGTAATTATTTCAAGCTATGCGTGACATTTCATAGTTCATTTACAATCGATTTTGTTTGCACTTTTTATTCTGTCACTCAAACTATTGTGGATGGAGTCACAATGCAGATGTGTGTGATAAAAACTTTTTATTCCTATAAGATCGCACCCAGAGATAATCATTTTTGTACAACAGAAACTTCATATCTCAGTTGATTTATCCATTATTGTTACATTGTCGAATATGAAAATGTATTTTTCAAAACGTTTACACCATTTAGAGCACTATACTGAGATATGTAGCAAATTCTTAGAACTTTGGCACAGACTGCTCATTATTGGCGTGCAGTGTGAAAATTTGTCAGTGTTAGCTGACAGAAAATTGATCGTGTTTGATATCAGCGATATAATGTCAAGATGCATAAAAATTGTCATGAATTTTCTCAGCATCGTTTAAATTTATATGAAAAACTGATTGAATGAAACCGCATATAAATGTATAAAATCTGCTTGAAAAGAACGTCAATCAGATAAAATCAATTTTTGTGCCACCGTGACGACTTCCCGGTCCGCTTCACAGATTGTATTTTACGCCGTGACTAATTTTTTGTTTTCACGATTTCTCTGGAGAAAAAATATTAAATAACAGAATATATACAGAACGTTGTGACTAGTGTGATTATCGGTCAAAAGATAGACGAACGTAGGGTGCATGTTTTGCCGCAAGACAATAAGAAAAAAACAAAATCTGAAATTGCAAAAACCAAGTGCAAAATTCTTTATAAATCATTCCCGAGCAAAAATTCATGAAACCTCAGATAACAGTTCTGAATTGCAGGTCAGTCTGCATAACTAATCATAATTATATGCAAAAATTTAAAAATGTACTGCTTTTATAAATGTAAATTGCACTCACAGAATTCGAATATTTCTTGAGCTTTCAAATGCATTATTTTCGATCATTGATATTCCGTTGTGTTTCAAAAGTCTGAAACGTAAAATAATATATAATATAGTTTCTATAATACAAGATGTCTCAAAAGTAAGTATACACTTTTAATTTCGATTTTCTTTACAGGTACTCATCATAGAGCGTTCATTTCTTCAGAAAACATAGTATTGATAAGTAGTAAAATTTAGGTATTGTTTGCATTTTTCATCAACCCACAGAATGACAAGGAGAAACCCAAGAATTGAGGTGCAAAATTGCTGTTTGGCAAGAAGCATATAAATCAGTGAGACAAACTCAGCATCTCTTATATCATCTTGTCCAATATTACAGAGTTGGTGGTTATAGTAACATAAAGTATAAAATATATTTACGTAGAAAATAAACTCACAAAACTCTCAATTTCACCAGAGCATCCAGATCTCCATTTCTAACAGTAGTTATTCTGTTCATGTCCAAATTCCTGCAAAGATAAACGTATATTGCATCATCATACTTGGTGCTTTATACTAATTAAACTATTGGTCTGTCGACATATTTAGGAGAATGTCACCTTGTGCTTCAAAAATATTTGTTGTTGTTGTTCAAATTGCGTTTGTTCGGAAATTTTGAGAGAGATTTTCTCGGCAATTTCTCGTTTCTGGATTAGCATTCTGGATTTTTTTTAATATTTACAGTTACAGACCTGATTGACTAATGCTCTCACACAAGAATGTATTAATCCCCTATTATATCATCAAGACATTTCAGGGAGACCAGATTAGACCGAAGTGGCGGAAGAAGCACAAAACGTCCACTGGAGTGGAAAAATAAGTAAATACGTCGTGGGATAATGAAAACGAGGGTCATAAGTTAAAATTTCGTGTGTTGTTTTCTTCTTAATTCACCAAAAACAAGCAGATGGATTTGTATTTGAACGTTGCAGTCAGCTCATTAGTTTCATTTAGAATTTTTGGTTGAGGATAAGTGTAAGTATAGTCCGCCCGCGACACAGACACAAATTTTGCACGAATCATTTTATGAACCACGAAGATTACACATGTATGACTCAGTGGTATATTGAAGTTCAGAAAAGCCATCGATGAAGATCTATATTCAATATGAAGAATTCTAATCGACACAAACTGTAAAATATCAGTTAGTTCGATGTAACATATTTTTATCCAATACAATTTTTATTCGATGTTTATATTTTGTGTTAAGCAGAGCGAATAGGATTTTGAGAAACGGTTAATCTGAAATAAAATTTCCTTTGCAGTAACATCAAAACGTCCGCGGCACTTAGTGTAACTAATCTCATATCATGCGACACTAATTTTCACTGGAGACGCTTTTTCATAAGGGGTGTGTGACGTGATACCCACATCTAAATAATTTCCCCTAATCAAGTAATTTAGATATTCTAAAAGGCACAAAGATTTCTCATACATAGAAGACAATGACATATATATGTATGGTGAAGTAAAAGACATAATATCTTTCAAAACCAAGTTGGCTTGAGTTAACATGTCTTTCAGTTTTCCAGTGAGCAGGATGATTGCTTTATCAAACTAATTATAAGTACAATTATACATATATTTAATTATGAAATGGTACAAACAAAAGCATCGGTGCAATGGCCGACTAAAAATATTTTATATATTTCATCCATTGATTTCTCAATAATGGCAACTTTTCGATGTTAGGGAATAAATTGTCGTCGACAAATAAAATCACCCACGACCAATGACCTCAACGAGTACTGTTTGATTTCTATAAAGATCTATCTGGCAAAAAAAAAACGTCGATCATAACAATGAAATTATAAGGTCAAGTAGTTTACAGTATATCTTTCTTTTAAATCGCTTTATATTGTCAGGTAAAATAAAACAGCAACTCAGCGTTACAGAAGTTTATTCAAGCAGTTTATGAAAATTTGAGTAGTTTGCGATTTCGAATACCTATTCAAAACACGAGGTTCCTTACTGTCAATTTTGATAATTGATACAGACACTATATAAATGTCTTTTTATAGTTTCAAAAAATTTGGTTAAATTGACATTTACATTTTGCGAGTGAAAGATTGTTTTGGAAGTTCATTATCAACCAAATGCAGGTGCGAGTTTGACGACAAACATTTTATTTTGGAAACATCAAAATTTACTCAAAACATTCAAATCTCTCTGATCGTTCGTGATAAGTTTGTGTTGTTCTGCTTCGTTTGACGTTCAAACATTTACGCAAACGTGTGATTTTTTAAGTTTTTGTAATGAAATACTGTCGGCTATTTTGACAAAAATTTTGATAGAAATACTGCATGAAACATAATATATACGTATAGGGATTATATAGGCAACGTTATTCGAATAAAGACGGCAATAAAACAAGGACTTTGAAAAACAATTGCAGTTTTCTTTCTATTTAATATCTGATTTCTTATAGCCTTTTTGAATAACGTATAGAAGGGTATTGAAACGTGTAAAAATACAGCAACTGTACAGCAATCGAGTTTTGTTTAAATATCTGATATATTGATATATAAATATGTTTTATCAATCCACACACATAATTTTAAAGTTTAATATTTGTTTTTGAAAACTCTATTGAGTTGATTGTTCCCAACACACATCGATTTAACACAATTTATCGAATTCAAGCATCAAATGTACACGCGATTGTATTCGCGTATAGTCGCCTTAAAATATTTCAAGCTTTTGTTCATGAATAGTAGCTCTGTGCAAAGATGTTTGTTTGTTTGTGTTGTCATAATTTTTACTCTGTTTCGCTTTGATGTTCGACAATTAATCATATTTTGAGTTCTAACGTTGTTATCGTCTACATCTTCTCAAAAAAGAAGCAACCACGCGTATCAAAACGACCAATTAGCAGCAGTTGCTACTTTTTTTTATCAAATATTTCATAGATAAAATCATTTCAAGACACGTGTCTGCCATTTTTACTAATTTGGATGTTTTTTAAGATTGTTAATATCAATGAAATATCAATTGAACTGTTACCCTTTTCGACAGCCGTCAGAAATGTTCTCTACTGATAAAATGAGAAATTCTGGAAATATGTTACGCCCCGAAACGTACTTCTCCAATGTGATGTTAGTAATTTTGGGGCTCCCGAAGTATGCGAACCAAGATGGCGGACATCGGAATGTAATATGTGTACTAGGTTAGGGTTAGGCCATAATTTTAGCTATAAATACTACGGGAGGCTCTTGGCTAGTCTTCGAACTGATAATAGGACTAAAATTGAAAAAAAATTATCGCCTAACCCTAACCTGTTACCCATGTTACGTTCCGATGTCCGCCATCTTGGTTCGCATACTTCGGGAGCACCGTAATGTTTTTTTTAAGATTGCATTAAATTAGACTTCGTCAAGGGTGATGCTACTCGATAACCAGTTTTATGTTTATTGCGTCTCCTTTTACTAGCAAATAACATTTTCCTTTTTTCTATATTCTATCGTCCAATTTATGTATTTTCCGTATGGCGAAGAAATAAACTACTGAGTACTGAGGGCGGATGTGAAAATAAGTTAGTATTTTTTCGTTTTACTAAGACATGATGAATTTTATTTAGGTAAACTGACTACCAATGGGAAACTCAATTTCCGATCATTCTTTTTTTGTCACATTTTTTTGTATGAATTAAAAAATAAATAGATTGAAAAGTTAGAAGTAAAATTAGGGCCATCATTTAGAAAAAAAAAACGACTTCAAATACCGAACCCAATTCAAACCTATATCCCCAGGTCGAGATCGAATGAGAGCATATTATGATAGTGTTTATTATGAGTTGTCCAGACTTTTCAGTTTGTTTATTTAAATAGAGCCTAACATCAATTTATTGTATTTTATCCTTTCCCACACGTGAAAGACAACGCTGTAGGTGGCGGATTATTGCACGCTTTGTACAAAGAGAACATATTCACTATTATCAACTCAAACGATGAACAATGACTACTTGTTTATTCCGGCCCGTGCCTTGGTGGCAAAAGAACAATGTACGATCTAATTATAGAATGTAAAAACGTTTCTTATGTTTCGTCAAGTTTTCCCACAGTAACATTATGTGTCCGTGGGTTCTTGAATACTGCTAGTAAATCGCAGCATTTATTGTAATTTTATAGTATACCTGTCAGAATGATAACCACCTTTAAAGTACATCAGTTTCAATCAGTCGGCTATTGGCCATAAATGGTTTATGGTTCGATGATATTTTTTAAAAATCGATCATCAAGTTACGATTAAAAACCAGATATATTACATTTTGCCTATTAGGGCATCCTAACACCAATAATATAGTTGATTTTGATTTTTTAATTATCCCCATTTAGGCTTGGTTTTCTGATATTTTAAATGAGCTTATCTAACATCACGTATGAATTCACTCTGCAACGTTTTCTTTTTTAAAGCTATTTTATTTGTCAATGCTGACAGGAAAAGTGTGCTAAATGTGTTTGTTTTGAAGAGGTGTAGGTCGAAACACGACCTCGCAGCCTGTGTCTTGTTCCTCGTAAATCATGTCAAGAAAACGAAGTGACTCAAGGGTGGCGCAGTAATTTAGTGTATAAAACGCCCCACTCGAAGTGCATATACGATCTGCGCTTACATGGTGTCGTTGCCAGAGGTTACGGGGTCTTTAAAACATACAAAATTGAAACAGACTGTTTAAAGTGAAGATCATGCTTGTTTTTTAGGCTTTACCCCAAGTATTTTTGTCACATGAGTGAATCATAATATTGAGTCTTAATTGAGCGTGATTATAATTTGTTGAAAAAGATTCAAAATTGATAAATTTTATTAAAATATTACGCGAACCAATGCACGAATCTCATCTCTATTGGTGTTGAGGGAAAACTATAGCCAATAGGCGTCAAAAAGAAGTCTTTTAAAACAAGTATCTAATCGGTGGCTGACTGTGACGAGGTTCTTAGCCTGAAAATGGGTCTAAATTACTGAATAGAATAAGTTCAGCCATAAAAGTGGAGGTTTGGAAATAAGAATTTAGCGAGACAGGAGATCATAGCCCTGCTCAATATAATGAAACGAATAAAACCGCAAATCTCCCGCATTTGCGTTCACACACGGGACCCTTCTGTTTAATACGACATCGTAAGTAACCGTTTTGGCAGAAATATGAAATAATAGTCAAAATATACTTACAACGCTTTGATATTTGGAGCTTTGCTTAGAGCTCTGAATGGGATTTCTGTCAAAAAGTTATCATCCAACCAAACGTGTTCTAAATTTTCAAGTCTTGCAAATGCATTTGCTGAAATTTCTTCAATAAAATTTGCTCCGAGATTTCTATAAAAACACAAAGATGTCGATATTTTGTTGACTAGATCTGATGCGGTTGATTTTATTGATTCATTAATCAGATTATATAATTAGAAATGTCACAATTTCATGATTGACAAATGATTGAAAAAAAAAATTCCCAAGTTTACTTTCAGTTTAGTTTCGATCTGCATTGTTAAAAGTACAAGAACAAATCTAGCATTTGCAGAAATGTCCATATCCTGTTTTTGAATGAGAATTCACATCTTGCATAGTTACCCCAAACTCCACAACTGATATGTGGGCCATCGACGAGGAGATTCTTCAGGCAATTGTTACCAAATACCCTTTGCTGGTTGTTGATATATTTTTGTCTAATTGACTATAATTTACTAAAGATATCTTAATAATGTATAACTTTAGTCACTTACAAATTTTTCAAATTTCCCATTTTGCTGATCGTGTTCACTGGGACAGAAGTTAAACGATTGTCTTGCAATAACCTGATAAAAAAAAATCAAATCATTATTGTGGGCGGAAAATACACAAATACTTATGTTGTTAATAACAGACTAGTAGATAGTATTGAAAATTGCCATTGTTGTTTTTCTATATTCATTTTCTGAATATAGAATATCCACCCCACACTATTGCCCGAAATCGCTCCAGACATGACGTGTAGATAGTTTCAAACGTTCAGAAGTCAACGGAACGATTCAGGACTTTATAATTCGTCTAAGAAAAGAAAAACTGACTTGTACTTATGGAATTTAAACATGAAATTTAACTCGCGATGCTGAAATATTCCGGACTAACGCACGAAAGGTAGAAAAGGCCATCCATCGCACCCGCATGTAGACCCAAAATGCTTTTTACGGAGGAGGCCCTTCAAATGGTGATTGAGATCATATCATCCTTACTCCTAACTGTAGCCAAACGTCATTTTATAAAATAAAAATATTTGTGACTATATATTCACGATCATTTTGTGTTTTTGATATGTGACGTTTAGCTACAGTTAGGAGTAAAGTTGGTTATATGATCTCAATCACCATTTGGGTGATGACACATTTCGACAAACTCTGATTCTATGAAATTTGTGGTAAGGTTTTGACTATATAACTGCTTGTAAATATGTAATCTTGTTTTGACTATGAGAATGTCAAAGCTCGTGGTTCACATCAATTAAATGCTTTATATCTTATCGTCTTATCGCTTATATTTTGTATATTGTGGCAATGTATTTTTAATATATATTAGTAGATTACATTAAATGAATATGTCTAAAAATGATGTCTCGATTTTGTAATAAAAACACTACTAATATAGTTAAATACAAATATTGCATGTAACGAGCTCAACTAACGGTTTAAAAATGTAATTATGGTTCACTTGAATTCATTATTTTTACTTTTACTCAATATGTTCTTGAGAAAATGAGAGCTACTTTACAAGCAATATTGTATTTTTGCAAATCAACACAACGGAACTGCTTTAATTTTACTATAATTTCACGTGGTTATACGTGATGAGTTGGTTTTTTTCATTAAATAAAATATAAATTAACTATGGTTGCTGGATATGCATTTCTAAAGTAAAAGAGAGCAATGTTCAAATAAATGGACACGAAATTCAAATGAGTAACTGCAGTACAACAGTACCATATACAACCTACATAGAAATCATTTACCTGAACATTCAAGTGATTTAAGTCAAACTTGTACCACAACCGTAGCATTTCACGAGGGTTCCTATAAAACTCTTGGAGAGGGTCGGATTTGTTAAAATGATGTCGGACTAGAATACGCAATATCCGCGAATACAGCGAAATTTGTGAGGAAATGTCGAGCCGCATAGGACTCATAAGAGGGAATTTAAAGAGTAATAGTTTTGAAGCGAATACTCCCATCTCTAAGTAGGCTACTAAAAATTCGCAATCTATTGGTTCATCAGTAGCGGAGAAAAGTGATTTTTTTTCTTTTCACGACAACAACAATTTGGCAAACGATCCATAGGTCCACTTCATGCCCAAATATCATTTTGCTTGCATTCAGTGTGTTAAAATAGGGAAACTTCGAGTAGGTATTGTATTTATAATGAAATATAAGGCAGATTTTCCTTAAAAATACTTTTTATTATTACAGCAATACTAACAGACGTCGCTGTGACGGTTGCGTTGAAGTGGAAGAAATATCAAGTTATGATAATCGAGAGATTGTTGACTTCGATTGTTTACTTTGACACCTTTATTTTCAAAATATTTTCGAGTCAACAGTTGGATGAGATGTTATTTTATCGCGGGCGCTTAATCGTAATTTTTTTTAAATATTTTAAAAAATTAGAGAGGGCTTTTGTATGAAAAAATACCCGAACGCAGTCAAAATTTTGATATAAGTAAAGTATACACCTTTTGAAGACAAAGTGGACCAAAGGATGGGAAATGTTGTTGTTGGCATAAAAAGCTCTTTTTCCCTAAAGCACGGAATGAATCGTCTACGACTTTGAAGCATTAAAGGTTATACGCGTCTCGTACAAGAATATTATTTATAATTTTTGCATACTTCTCTTAGAAATTGATGTTGTTCATATTATTGTTGTTTTGGGGACAAAAAATATATTTTTTCTCAAAGCACTGGGTCAATCGATTCCCAATTTGGAGCAGCAAAAAAAGGACGAATTCTTGGAAAGATTCTGAGAAAAATAATTGCTATACTCTCATATTCCTAGTAGACTGGCTGGTTTCTCTTGTTTTATCCCCAAACTTATCAATGATTGAAAATTGCGCCACCGCGTGGATTACACGCTGTTCGATTTCGGCGAGCTATATTTAAATTCTGTGTGACGGTACTGACTTTGTTTTTTTTATCTGCTTTGTTGGTATTTCAAATGATCGTCCAGTTGGCAAACGGGTTAAACAGAAGTGGAATCTTTCAATACGTCAGACCAAATTATATATTAAAAGTGTATCTTGAGTTACTTTGCATTAAAGAAATGGGTTAGAATGTCGTGTGAAGAACTCTATTTTCTATTTCATTCTGCGTTTGTTGTGTCGTAGGATCAGAATGACCTGGATCACAAGAATGCTTCAACAAGTCAAAAGTTCATAGAAACAAAAGGAGAATATTATTCCATATATATGTCTAAATAAGTTTTAGACTCTTTCTGCTAGACTGTGAATATATGCCCGGTAAGAAAACTCGAGTCTTCGCTTGGACAGCAAAAGTAGCACATATTTACCACTTAATTATTCCGTAGTTCAACACATAGCTAATGAAACTAGACGCCTTTTACGAACTTACATTGCACTCTCTCGATCCCCGCCACCACAGGAGGTATCAATTACAAAATCCGTGGCTCTTTAAAAATTGACACTCAAGTTCTACATAGGATGTGCAAACCACTTCAACGCTTTATAAGCATCATTTATGAAAATACACAATTAAAACAATCATTGAAATCATATGACGGGAGGTCGATATTGTTATTTCTGTCAGACGACAGGTTGCTTCTTAAAAATTATCAAAGACATCAATGACGCCGCCACAAACTGCTAGGATTTGAAACAGCTACGAGACAACATTGTTGGAAATATGATATAGATGATATGCTCGCATAAATCCAGTATCAACTCAAAATGAGTTTACGTGCGGCCTCCTAATAGTTGAGTCCATATTAATTTTATTTTTAGTTTCATTATTTCTAGGTGATAGATTGGTTCATGACAGTTTTTTTTATTCATTCGTACCAAGCTTATAAAAGTGTTGCATGTTTTTATGCAATAAACATCAGTATTTTCAGGCCAATTTGTTCGAAACAAGATCACGTAAACTCAGTCAAAAGTAAAGAAGACTAATCTTTAACCGCTTGAACCCGGCAAGCCGGTTTACCGGCTTGTTTGAGTACGCTCTGTGCCCCGGCAAGCCGGTTTACCGGCTTGTTTTTCGTGTCGGAAGGAATCAACTTTATGATCTCGTATCTCAAGAACCACAATGAGTATTTAAATAAATTTTATATTGCATGAAAGCTTGTTATTGGGACTAATTATATTGTAAATATCGGTGCTCTAATATACGATGTTTCAGTAAAATTGGCAATTTGAAAGTGCGTATGAAATTATTGTATGATAACAAATATTTAATATAAAGAATTTCGACTTCTCGCCTAAATAGCCACATATTCAATCGGCAATATATGTGGAGAATTTGAATAGCTTTTTATATACGTATCCAAAACGATTTTACGATGAGCCATTCAAATTTTATGGCGAAATATATTAGATTATCTGTAGATTTAACAGCGACGCTGCGTCAAAATGATGTTCTCGTTGAAGAGAGGCTACGTCTCGTCACGCACAACTTTACGTATATTACGCAAATGCAAATAAACGTGACGATATCCGCAATAACGTTACGTCGAGATGTTATCATTTAAATGTCCGCAGGAAGTAATTAATTAACCCGATGCTACGCATTCAAAATTCGCACTACGCTTTGACTTTGACTGCCCGCTCAAGCCCCATTAAGTTGTGGTTATGTATACGCAATATGAACCAGATTGTGATTTTATCAGCAAATAACGGAACAATAAAGACCATGAAAAATGTATGTACATAAAAGACTGCTTGCTAAAATTTTTAAATTGAATATTGCACTTTGTTGTGCCCGGAACAATGAAGAACATGAAAATATTATGCAGATAAAAGACACATTCTAAATCCAATATTGCACTTTGTTGTGCCAGTTATACCAATGGTTGTTGGTTTCGTTACCTAAACATAGGTACTCATTACAGTATTTGTACATATATACTGTCTCGCATCGTTTCAGCAACGCTTTGTCTTTAGCAGCTGGATTGGTTTTTTGGCAATAATGTAAATTTTGCTGCATACGACGCATCTATTATTAGAACTGGCGTTTTGCGGTAGGGTATCTAGCTCTGGCGACGCATATGATCTTGTTGGAATAAGAGTTGCTCTTTCTGCATTATTAGTTCTCTCAGATATTGATCCATCCACTTGCTCCGCCTAACATTCGTACAATCAGATATTTCGATCTGCAGAGCAGGCAAGTACTTATATTGGTTGATATTTGAACAAATACTGATGGGCGAATAAAACATTTTCCACCTGAAATTTTATATGACGATATTAACTTCCCTTCACTTCGCTATTACTGCACGCATTACTCGACGTCGGTACTTCAATCCGTACAGGGTTAATATCATATTGAAGCTCGGCGACCGATGTCCCGCTGAAAACGTCGTCGTGAAAGTTATCTTGCGCATTTTGCCACGCAATACGTTTCGAACGTACTTATCAACATCTTCATGACGGTAGTCACGTGATCGGCTTTTGCGTAGCTGCGTAATCAGTGCGTCATGGCCGCTTATCGAAGTTGTTCACCCGACACAATGATACACAATTAAATATTTAAATATAAAATTGGTTATATGGCAACCACAATAGTAACTCGAATATCAACAAAAAGCTTACAAAAAACTCTTTATGAACATCAAATATTGGCAGTATATTTTGTACCAAAGTAACAAAATTTCAAGCCAAAACTCACATACATGCAGAAAAATCACTGTTAGATTAGGGTCAATTTTATTAATTTTGACAAAATGTATTTCGAAATGGAGAATACATTCTGAATGCACGATAAAATTAACTTTCGATTGAAATGTCACACAACGTGCTACCTATAATTGGTAAAAAATTATAAGCGTGTCAAATAGCCAGTATTTAGACTTATTTTATTGTTCTAACAATACGGCGCCGCGAACCTTCAGGGTGAGCGAGTAACTTCGCTCAGAGCCGTCAGAGTTCAAAGAGTTAAGTAAACGTATAGAATTGTGGTGATGCATTACCGTCAGTAAATGCATGCCGAGTGAAGCGTAACTTGAAGCAGTTCAAGTTAACACAAATGAGGTAAAGAATTACTCGGACTGTTTTTTATTTTGGTTACGAGTAAAATATCTAATGCGTATTATCAAATATAATTTTACATTTTTTGAATTATATGTCTGTTGTACACTTAATAGTTTTTGGCTGATTTGAATATTTAGCTTTACAAGGTCATCCCGTGAAATGTTAAAAATTATAATCCTAATTAGCTTTGCTAACCCTAGTCGTTTCCGATCAGGATTCAACAGGAGAAAATAATCAGAAGCAATGGATATGCATCGTATACTGAATCCCGTCCACAATTATGTAGACATACTGTGATTTATGGATTTATATATCCATCTAATTGAAGTGTTATTATAAGGCCATATTGTTATTTAGATCGATATTACCTCAATACTATCTAACACAATAGGCGGAACATGTCAAAACTGATACCGGGATATCACAATAGCGTTTGTGGGAAGGAAAATGTGGGTGTCTTTCTAAGCACGATATTTAGTATAGTCTACCCATCCTATTGTGGACTATGCAAACATGCCTAAAGCAAAGGATTTTGAAGAAATAATCGATGCCCATAAGATAAATTCTTATGTCATTAGTACATTTCAAGATAGAAGAGTTCATTCTAGAAGACTGTGCAAAGCATGGACTATTGATAAAAACAATTTTGAGACTGATTTTATCAATATCCCATACGTGAATAATGGAAGTGTTTGGAAGAAGTACAAATATAGAGGGTTAACCTGCCACTTTGTGTAAATTTGTTATTGACCAAAATCGCCGCCTATAAACCACGCCCTTTAGATGCCCCCTCTGGGTTGACACCTCTGTATTGTGACTTGAGCATGATTGACAGCCGAACTACATGAACTAAACTGAATTTCGTGTTGTTTTACTCAATATTAAAAACTATGGTGATATAAAACCAAAATGATGGATGAGAAGATTAATTTGGCGGAAACAATAAATTATCAAAAACGTGCAATATAACCGATATTAGTATATTACTTTAAGAATGACTACATTGTATTGAATTAATTATCAAATATGAACTGAGTAAACTTTTCCGTGGAACAAAAAAAGCAAACAACCCTTACTGGGTATTGAAGCCCAATAGTGTGACGTCAGTGATATTGATATTTTAGGTATAAAATATTAGGAGACATTTTGCCGGGTTTACTTTAAAATAAGTTTTAAGATGACTGATGACAAGATTCACATTGATAAAACTCTGAAAAAAGATCTTAAATTTTTTTTTCAAATTTCCACTACCAAATATTCCTGAAGTAATGTATTTTTACTTTAATGTCGTCATATTATTTTTGTTTCGCCAATAATAAACCCAAATCACTGATATTGACATATGCTTTGAAATGTTTCATATGTATCAATAAGGCGGCACGGGTTTAAAAGTGTTTCGTTTTGTTTACGTGACAACAGAAAATCATAGGTTGGCTGAATAGTTCTATAACATGAAAAGCGTTGGTAATATTTAGAAAATTTTTAGACGCACTGTGATTATACGAAATTTTTTTTAACGGGAGTCGAAAATTTCAAAACAAATCGTACAATTGCTCAATTATCAAACGAATTTAATAACAAAAAATTGCCCAACTACTGAAAATATATGCGAAAGGCATTAAAAACTGCTGAATAATTGGAGAATACCTTTGAATTTATCAGTAGTTATTTTAGACAATTTAAAAATGCCTCTATGAATTAGTTTTTCAACCGAAATAAATCTGACTATGCTGTGATCACTATGTGATTCTGATATGATTTTGAAAGACTCACGACAACCTACGAAAAGGTTTTCCATAGTTTGAACTAAACTCGGAATTCCAAAAGAAGGAGGTATATGACAAATACGAAAAATGTTCATAGCCAAATCAACCAGATGTCCATGTGGTGGAAACTTTATATGAAGATTTGAGGGCACTGAATGACCAAACTGACCCTCAAAATTGCGATTGATGGTTTGACGACAGAAATACTTTGATCAAATAGGAGCAAGCAATTCGTGATGAGAGTTTCAGATTTACGCTGCAAACGCCAATCTATTTTTACCGAGATAATATGATAGATATATTTTTTAGATATCTAAGAGGTTCTATTTTTAAAAATAATTTAGTTTCCTTGATGTTCGATAATCATTGGGATTGGGTTAGACGTTCCCAGATACGTTCTTTACACCAACGATTCTTGCCATATGCTAGCCCAGCAGTCCATGCATAACACAAATGCAGAGAGAAACAACAGTAGATAAGAGCACGCTATTTCAATCAATTGAACATCGTTGTAAGTTTAAATAAAATAATCAAAACATAATATTAGAAAAAAAAAATTTCGACAGCAATGAATGAATAAACTGCAATTGCTTGTTTCGCAATAATTATCATGAGGAACGAATTTATTTGCATAAAAATGAACATAGAAAATCATTTTTTCTCAGGAGTTTACTTGCAGACATAACTTATCCTAATAATATTATTTTAGCAAATACTAATCAAACTCAAGCTAACGTTATCAAAATATATTTTCACTACCGCATAATTCAAAACGTTTCAACCTCTCTCTTTTAAGTTTTGCGACCCTTTCACACCACACGATCCGTGGTCCATTTGACATGTGAGATCTCCACGCTCAATGGATTTGTAAGCTAATGGCTAAGCTTTTGTTAGCTTGCACGAATAATATGCCCCGCCTCTTTGATAATATACAGATTTATTTTGAATTCAGATTGCGGACCACCGGTAGAAAGAACTCAATAAACCAGAAAATTGGCAGAACAAGCGTGGATTGAGGCGTGGTTTTACCATACTCATGTTCGATCAGAACATAAATATTACTCACTGTCGGGTGTGTTGAAAGGTATTGATAAAACAACGTAAATTATATTCCTAATTCCGGAAAAATGTTGTTTTAATTTACGGAACATTGAGATGAATAACACGTTGATATAAATGGGTTAGAATATTTTCGGGAATCGGAAATGCCTTGAAAAGAAATGGCCAGATGGTGAATGGGAATAAATCTGTAAATGTACTCGAAAGTTGTAATATAAAGTGAAAAATTGTCAAAAATGATTTTTGAGGCGTTTTAGTTTATTGGTTTGCTATAAATAAATTTCTGCAATTTATTGTTTATTTTTCGATACTGAATGATAAAAACAAATTAAGTACAATGAACGCAAAACCTGCTGTGACGATATTCAAAATATTTTGTACAACCGGAAATATTTGGATAACACAGCATGGCATAACTGAGTTTATACGGCAGAATTGATTTCACACGAGATAGGATTATTTGCTTGGATGTAGTCAGAGTATATGACTGCAAAACAATATATAATTCTGAACCTGACTTTGGTATACAATGCTTTCTCATATATATTTTAGTGTTTTTTCAAAGTATAATACTGTTTTTTCGACTAGGTTGTAAAATTGATTGGATTAGACAAAACCTATTCCCTCTAAAAATTTCCGTGAAAAATGTCAAAATTTCACCAAAACACCAATACTGTGAAATCGCATTTATATCTATATTTGCCTTTTCAAATTTGCATTTGGCATCATTTTTATTTGTCATTCCCGTCAATCTGGTTGAACTTGAGAATATACCTAAATTTATAATACCGACTTATTTGTCACGCGAACAAACAGAACACAATTTCTTATTTTTCCTTTAACTTCTTTGTGTGTGGCATAGTATAGGTAAGCAACTAATTATACAGAGTATTTTTAATCGGCGGATATTGTGATTAGTCGCGCGTGCCAAGTGAATTAGTTCAATTCATTAACTTCAATTTGTTGCCCTTCATTGCCTGTGAAGTAATTATTAATTCCGGCTTTCGTGAGAGTTGGTTTTTATTACGTTTGGGTTCTTAGAACCGCATTGTCCAGATTCACTTTGTTTATTAGGTAGGTGTAAGACTAAATAAGTCATGATTTGCTTTCTAGACTTTACATTATATAAACCTTCCCACAATTTTTGGTAAAAATAATTACTTTCATGCTGTCGGTTTATCGTTTGGAAAAATAAGTGAAGTGGTCATGGAAAATGCAAAAATTCTTGAAGACCTGAGTGTTCTCCCCCAAAAGCATGTGCTTTTGTCTTATTTGTTTCCTATTTTACGGTACTTGTAACCAATGTTGGACACTACGGAAGTGGAGTAATTGACAAATTTTTAAAACAATAAGCGTAAGTTTCAACTCACAATGTATGCATCTTCTTGAAACCGGAAGTAAAAATTCCTTCGGGAAGTTCGGAGATGATGTTTCCAAATAGAGATCTGAAAAATAAATTAAAAGTTTAATTTTAGTTGAGTTGGCAACCTCAATTCTTAAGTGAATAACATATTAAATAAGACTTAGACGCCGACGTTCTTGTAAGATTCATTTAAACTGTAAAACAATAAAATAAGTCTCGATATAGTCAGATGTTTGTTGACGAGTTGCCAGTAACTTGACGGGATGTTTAGGTTCAGTTCGATTTTACATTATTTAGCGGTTACTTGAATGCACCACAAGATACCTGTACCTGTAAATGTTTTTTGCTGTTTGTGAGTTTACAAAACAGAGGCCAGATGTGAGATTATGCATTGGACTAAAATGACTATAAACAAAATATGAGAGAAAATTACATCTTATCTTTTTCAATCGAATTTTGACAATAGCAACTAAAGTAATAAAACAAAGAAAAACAAATTATAAATCAAAATGAAAAGTTCGTATTATACACAGAACAAAGCGGAAATGTTTTTGATCGATGACTTTATCTTTCACTATTATGTGACCCAAATTATCAGAAAAGAAAACAATTTTTTCAAGTCAGTTAACCGTAATTGGTTTCTATCAAAACTTTCCTAACCCCAAAAGTCAACAAGATAAACAAAACAGCAAGCTGAAAATAGCTCTCGACATATGAGATAATATAAATATCTTCATAGAAAATGATCGTCGTAAAATAAAATCACGTATACTCATTTTCAAGAATCTAATCATTTATAATCAAGTTGGTATAAGAACAGTAGTAGGTCATGCATCAGGCCGAGCACGCCTGACTTGTCTGGAAAATTTCCCACTAATGAACCGATGTGTACTCCATTGGTTAAACGCGAAAGACAGAATTTTATATCAATATTGCAGATTAAAATAACTATGTGTATTTGTTGATTGTGCTGCCAACCTGAACCCATTGCGTCAAACCTACGTCTCATAAAGTTCATATGAGATACATAGGTTACATTCGTCCTAAGATAACATGACGGGGTTAAGTCAAGAATGTGTCCAGTTGCAGAACAACTAACCACAATGCAATTTATAATATATATTGAAGGCGTGAGTTAGTTTGTACTTACTTATAACAATCTATTATACCAAAATGAAAAAGGAAACGGGTCAAACGGGTTCGCGCCGAAATTTATGGGAATGTTGAAGTGTTCGTTTACAATTTTTTTACAATGTTTAAAAAAATTCATGAGAAAAAAATAGTCGAAGCGCAGCGATAGTTATACCGTGCGAAAATTATAAAATTCATTGTGGGAGAATCGGATTTTCTCGGTTTGGTTTTAAAATTAAAAATAAGAAACGATTCAAAAACAAACAAAACAATTTGGGGTTAAAAAGAGTCAATTTACTCAAAATATTTATGAGTTATCTGTTTCCTCAAGTAAGTTTAATTTACCGATATATGTTCAGCTGTATGCAAAGCTGCGAAAAATTATTTCTTGTGAGAAAAAAAATTAAAAGTGAAGTCAATCTGGTATTGCTCCAAACTCTGGACTCCAGAAATAAAAGCGTTTCACATCCATTCTCTATGCTTGGTGCATATTATATCAGTAGTCGATATTAGCTGTACCTGATTTACATACAACTATTTTCTTCTGAGAACTATAGTCCCACGAAATCTCATTTTAGTTTTCATACAAAATAAACGAATCAACCAAAAGTGAAACTAATTTGTGGGACGAATTGAATTTGGCTTAAAATAATCAGGAACAATCATATATAATCATACATGATTAAAAAATATACAATGGATGTATGTTCCGCCTGTTTTCGATGCGAAGATAGAATTTCGAGAAAAAAAGGTACTTTCGTTTATTCCACTGTTTATTTTTAAAACAAATAATGAAATTATCCAGGTGGTCGGATGAGAGGAGAAAAAAATCAAAGTTTTTACACGATCATGTTTTGATCAAAAATGAACGCATAAAAAAATTAGGGTTGACAATACATGATTGAGCTAAATGAAGGGTCTCTTTAATTTATCCCTCTAATTTTTCTACAATGATGCACAAATAAGAAATTTGACAAAAAAGCTATACCAATTCACTATGTTTTTAATTAAATACTATTTCAAATTGGCTAAATGAAATTCATCAAGCATGAAACTCAATTCAATGAAATTGCCGGAAAGTGTCGAATTTCTTAAGTCTCTCAAGGGCAGCAGAACTTCGACAGTAGAGACGTAAAATTATACGCGACAAAACAATAGGTCACTCTTATTGAAGCCTCGCGCTTGTGTGGGAATTGAGAATTTCTGAAATTAGGGGATTCGTGGGATTTTTTTTACTCTCAATCATTATTAGTACTTTTGGATAAAAAAATGACCCTATTTTCTTCGAAAGACAATAAAACTATAACCATTATGTATTTATTCTGTACCCCAAAAATGTAAATTTTATTGTGGACATAGCAAATTACAAGTTAATAAAAATATTATCCTTGTTCCTGAGAACATAAGAATTTACGTGTTAAATACAAATTGAATAGACAAAGTAGATATCTACGTATAATAGAATTTAGTTTCCATGGTCTTCCAAGAAGTTTCACCACGAGATAGAATAATACTCGGTTTGACATCACTCTCACGGGAATTAAAGCAGATTTCAGTTGACCCGAATAACATGATGCAAAATTTAATTTACCGCATTCGATTTGACACATAGATAACACTCAACTTCGTCACCTGTCAACCACGTGTTACTGAATTTAAACTTTATTCTATCGCCAGCGAATCGACCGCCAAAGTCTTAGCCCGGCCACGAACTCATTAGGCTATTTTATAGCATCCATTTGCTCATTGAAAAATTCAGATAAACCCAGGTATCCCTTCTTGAGATTCTATATGTCAAATTGTAGTAATTGTAGAGGTATTCTCCTATTTTCGTAGTAGTTTTTACTATGTTTAGTTTCTCCCACTAATATTTTTATTGTACGTTTCGTGTTACCATACTTAAATTCAAATGTGCGCAGAGTGAAATCTAAGCAAAATAAAACATTCTTGTATCTTAACCAGTTTAAAAAACTAAATTTACTCAGGGGAATAATGGTCTATAGAGTCGTGTGCGGAAGCCCTAATGACACAGTTTTTGGATTGTCGCCAGGTCAGTAGTAAAACAACATCATAGAACTCTTCCTGATCACCCGCCCATCTTCTCCCACTGGGACAACTAAATTTTGTTTCTTTTAAAATTCTTGGAACTACTAATCATCTCTATAACGCACAGTAATGGTATCCTCAGACTTAATATTTATATGCCTATTTATCTAAGGCCAGTTGAAAAAACAATATGTTAAAATTTAACGCTATAATCATCACAATATATTGCAAGCTAATATCTGATGATGGATATTCGATATTGTCTGGTGGGAATCCTAATCGATAAACAACAATATCTAGAAGTGTGCTATCTTGGCGAATGATGGTGCTTGTCAGCATACGAGCACGTGGACATACCCCCTTTAAGTCTAACACTCATATCATAAAAATGATGTTCTGCATTCAAACAATTAAAACTAGGCGAAAAAAAACGAACGCTCTAGGTTTTTTTGAAAAAAAAAGACCCGTGGTTAAGCGATTTTCCCCCAAAAAAGTTTGGAGCGAAAAAGAATTGATCAATAAAATACAAATCGACGATTTCAAATCTTTGAGTCTTACAAATTACTTACAATTTCTGAAGTTGTTTGAGTCCTGCAAATGATTCTGAAGAAATGCTTGATATGTTGTTCATGCTGAGATCCCTGAGAAAACAAAATTAAATTATGATTAATAATTTATATCTAATTTTCTATCTTTCATGCCAATGAATATAAAAATTTGGTATCCTTTTAATATACAGTGATGCGAAGTATAACCCTAAACTTGAACTGCATTGTTGTAAGATACAGGTATAAATATTGTCAAGTATAATTGCGCATCACAATAATTCAACTTGGGGACAATGGAATAAATAGTATCTTATTGAGCATGGTCACTGTATGAAAAGTGTGCGTTATCGTACAACATTAATTGGTTGAAGTTTATATAGAGTATATATTTTAGATATACTCAAAAAAGTATTTAGCGCCAAATAAGTTTCCTCCCTTTTTTCTTGGAGTATGCTACAATAAATTTCTCTTGCTTTTGCAATTCTTGCGCCCCGGGTAGAACGTGACCAAGTACCATGATCGGTTTTACATTATTTACTGAATCAAACCACTCCTCAGTGTTAACTTGATAAGGATAATATTATCTATAATTGATATTTTATAGGATGTTTGAAGATGGAAATGACTACAGTGGAAAGCTTTTATCTAATGCGTAGTCTTCAAACTTACAATCTGGACCAAGAATGTAACATTTTTTGTTTCGTTTGCCTGTTTCTACGTTGTGATTTCAAACTTTCCCTTAATGGGGTTCAATTTGATTCGCGATAATTTAATAAAAACCAATATACAACGCCAGTTTCTTTTTGTTTTAAAGTTGGATCCGTACGAATGAGCCGTCTTTATGGACTACTATACCTACTAAAAGAACACATCCATCAGAACATATGGCGATCACCTTTGCCACTTCTTGTGGAAAATTTTTATTTTTCCTAATGTACTATATACTGAACGAACGATATATCATGTAGGAATGATAATTATAATATAGTATTGGTTCTTTTACGTCCTTGCGCAGAAGACTAAATTTATAAAATAGTACTTGATACTTAAGTCAAGAGGGTTTTGAAAAAAGTCGAGTTTTTATACCTGAGTATTTTCTATATTTTATCATAGAAAGTTTACACAGAAACAACGGAAAATAATTCCAATAACATAATGATAATAAGTGGTAAATTATTTTGAAATAATATTAATTGGATTATAGAAAACTGTTTTGTTCAAAATTGGCAATTACATAGATTATTTCCAAATATCAAACTTCCACCACTTCAGTTGATATTAATCACCATAAACCAATAAGATAGTTTATCATTTGTAACTATTAGTATGATTGGATTATAAATATGGACAGGTGTTCTTCGATAAAGAAAATTTTATCAAATCATTAGCAAACATGGGTCAAATATAAATCGTTTTTAAACATCACTTGGCGAGAAGATAATAATATGGAATTCAAGTAAGTCAAGTTGTTTGCAATCAATTTCAATTTACCACCTCGAGAATGTGAAATCTCATGCATTGTGAGATAAGATTCGATATTCGGTTTTTTATGGGTTATGGGGTCGAATCCCATGCAGATAACAGCATGATAATCGCTAATTCTTACGGATGACGTATTAATATGGTACCTTGAATGTATTTTTAATCATCTAAACTGTGATATAATATCATAATCTGCTTTTCATACTGGCTCATTAGGAGTCTAGATACCGACTAAAATCAGTTAATGTGAAAATGATCTTGTTTAAACGAGATGTGATGACTTGTTTATAGATTTAGTGTAGAATGAATCCTGGAATTAATATCTACCGAATTCAATATTGACCCTGAAAGCTTTTTTGTTGGATTAGTGGAGTAGTCAAGGTTAAAGTTAACAGCCATTAGTCAATTTCAGACTAACTATTTTGTTGATGGAAACTTTTTTGAACATAGCGGCCAGGTCGAGGGCCTGCAGTTCGCACTCAAGGTTTTCACACACCAGTGCTTTTATTTTAACCAAGCTGGTCCACAGTATATTTGCCTTCATCCAGGTATAAATTGGAATGCATAACAGAGTGGATACATGTAGAATTGTGAAAAATATGAGAAATAAAGATGGGCGCTCTAAAGAAATGTTTATGTTTTACTGACTTATTTTATTTTTGCTTATGATTGATTTGAGTTTCTTTATATAATTCGAAAAACACAAACTATATAAGAATCGTTTTATTAAGGAGATTGTTTACGAAATTTCTCCCACTAGATAAAACAAAATTTACCACTTGAATAAGCATTTGATGTTTGCGACGTAAATTGAAAGGCAAATATCGATAAGACGATACACCGGTGTGGCAACGTTAAGCAAACTTCGATATTATTTAACCCTTTGGGCGCATCGAGTTTTTTTTCTTAAGAGTATTTAACTATTGTATGAGTTTAGCTATCGCAATACACGAATAGTCTAATTTTCTTTAGAGTTCACCTTAATAAAAAGACGACTGAAGTAAAACATTACTCGAAAAGCGAATTTTATAATATTCTATTGTTTATTTTCCCCCAGTGGGGCTTTTTATTTAATTAAAATAACAATTAAGTATGCGAGAAAAAGATCTATAACACTGTCCCTGTCAACTTGAACTAGTGATTATTATTTTACAGTCGGGAATAGATCCTAAATTATAATATACCCTCATGCATCACCAGCTGTTCAGTCGGTTTATTCAGAGCGTAAAACGCGTCGCAAAAAGATTTCATATTGCATATCGAATGCAGACAGAATTTTGGAGTGATTTAAGAAATGCCACACTTTTAAGCTAGTGTGATGATACATAATATTGGAATTTACTGTTGACTTCAAACTTGTGGTTAATAATGCAGGAGGTGATTCCCAGTGATGGCGAAAACTCGTATTTTTCGCTAAATTCAATGTTATTTGATGAATTTCCAGACAATTTGGTTCCAGTGTAAACACAGGGATATCATTAGGAATTAAGAGATTCAAAAATATATTGTTCGATTTATCCCAGGTATTAAAGGTCCCCTCTCACACCGCACATTAACGCCTTAACCAATAATTTATAGTCCCAGCGACCAACTAAATAAAGTATGGTGGATATATGAACCAAGCTTCAAAATGTAAGTACATATATATATCATGCTTGATATTTTATTAAATTCACTTGCAACTCACAAATAAAATATTGAAAGTGATCTTTGGAGCATGATTTGGAACGCCAGAACACAATTTTACAGTTTTCAAAATCTTTTGAGCTCTTTTCGTGTCCAATATTCAATTTCATACATTTTAAGACGTTCACGTCAGAATAGAGATAGCATTCACTTTTACAGTGAAAATGAAACAGAGATAGGTATCTGCTAGGTATGATTTGATAAAAAAATCTCAATATGCGTTATTTTTGTTATTAAAGTGTCATAACACTGAAAACTAGAGATGTGTGTAAGGATTGAACCGACCCAATTTCGCTCAGACCCGGAAATGACTTCTTCGAATACAATACCCATACTTTATCGTAAGAACGTTTTTTTCTTAACTTTACTCTTTCTCATCGATTCAATATTCCGGTTAAAATCAGAAAATTGTAATTGCGTATGTACATCGACTTTTATTTAATATGCGATGTCACAATTCTGTCAAACAAAACGCGACACATGACAGATAATTGACCAATCCAAATGACTCACTCGCCCAACATGGTTATTTAGGCGGGAACGTAGCCACGTGGGCGAGAGTATTGGTCCAGTTGGACTCTCGTGGTCGGTATATATACATCGTATATCTTTGTGCCTAGTTTGATTATAAAAGATTTTATGTTTAGTTAGATTAGAATTATCATGAGCTAATAATATCAGTAAATAGACTAAATGTAAACATGGACAGTAAATTAAAAGTGATAATAAACGTCCGGTGCTGTCAGTATTTGACAATATTAAAAGACTGATTTGCAAACTTTGATATAAATTTTATACCAAGTATACCAAAACGTAAATGGAAAAATTAAATTCGCCACTGATTGGCGTAATAAAATACTTTAGCTATGTCAATTTTTTGCTTTTATATGAATCAATTAGCTTTTGAAAAACTGACATGGCGCCACAGATTTGAGGTGGCGACACTAGATATTCGTACTTTCGAACTTTGTGCCGTGGGGAATAACATGTGGCTCATTTGGCGAAGAATTTTGAATTCATTGGTTATGTTTGCACATACTTTCTTGCGACACAGCATTTTGTTTTGTAATATATTGTTTTCGTTCTAAGCAGAGATTTTGGAAAATTTTCATTAGCATTTCCAAAACTGCTGTTTTTAGGACAATCGGACTTGGCGATTAGAAATAGCCTCATCAAAATACGCCATTCTCTCAAAAGACTAATTCTAGAGAAATGCTTTATTTACGATTCACAGTTGGATCGCTGTATGTATTAAACAACAAAATAAATAGCTATCTGCATACAATAAAAAAATATGTTACTTTCTCGGTTTCAGGATTTCCTAGGTTTTTCGACGCTTTGACAAAAACAAAATGTCGCCTGTGAGATCACACGCGGAGATAAGTCGTTCACGAACTTCCTACTTGGAATACGTTCATTAATTTCTCAAATCACCGTGAAGCTGCCTTATATCTAAACCGGACAAACGGATCATGTATACAACGTTAAAAATATTCATTTCTTTATACATTGCCAAATATGAGACACAAATATTTTAGTTAATGTGTCATGTTTACCTCATGAAGGTGTCATCCGCAAAACAATTCGTTTGATGGCAGAATAGCGGAGGATTAATTTTTATTAATCTGTTGACGTAACAACAGGCATTGGATCACCGGGATCCATCAAAGAATTTTCGTCTAAAACAATCTTGTCGACTTAGAGAATAAACAAACAAATATCAAAACTTTCCGAAGTTTGCTAACTCGATTAAAACAACGATTTAGCTGAATTTGGATTGATGTGCGGTGACCAAGAGCTTTATGTTTCGATAATTTAATTCCCCAGGGTCGGTAAAAAAGTTATTTCTTGGAATGTAAACCTCTAATCCATTCAACTATCGTTCCGATATTTTTCAAAGCGGGCCAAAAACGCGTTCATCTTCA